ATCTGTTCCTGAGAGTTCAAGCTCAGGCCATGTTTAGGCCCCAGAGCTGGTTATGGTGCAGCAAGCTAGACTCATTGTGCAGGTATGTGAGACGACTCCTTTTTTGTTTATGTGGCTTTGAGTCAAGCTTCTAACACTTCGTACAGTGTAGTTAAAAATGTTTTGAAAATGTTTTGGTTCATTTTACTTAACAGTCAAAATATTTCTGAAAGAATTCAAAAAAGTTTAATGGAAAAGTAAAATAAACTAAAACAGAATAAAATACAGATGAATATTAAGTTTATCTTGAAAGGAATAGGAACTCTCTAATCATAAAAGTAATTTTAAAAAACAGAGAAAAATGAGTAAGCATAGTAAGAATTCACAGGAGGGGAAAATCTAACATGCAATCAACACATAATTCTGAAGTCTGTGAGTAATTAAGGACGTACACATCCAAAAAAGACACAACTTTAGTAAATTTAATAAAATCTTGGTAATAATTATGCTATTTAAGGTGTTGTGAGGTCATTGTTTCATAAACTTCCAGCAAGAGTAGGAGAAATATTATGTTTCAAGAAAAACATGTAAATATATATTATCTAATGATCTTGCTTCTTAGAATCTACCCTAGGGAAATAATAATGAATTTGGTCCAAAATTTACACATGAGTTCCTGCAGCTTTATTTTTAACAATAAAAGCTTAGACATAACAAATACCCCATAATATAGTCATTACATAATTTTATGGGATACTTGTAAATAGACTGCAATTCAGCTACTAACGTGTTTTAGGAGACTATTTAGATAATCCACCCTGTATAGTGTTAAGTAAACCACTATGATTTTTTAAATATAATATATGATTTCACTTTCATTGTTCAAAACCTACATATAGAAAGAAACATACTGAATTTAACAAGGATTATCTCTGGATGACTTTTTTTCCTTCTATAGATAACTAAATGTTTCCAAATTTTCTCCAACAAAAATACCAGAAAAAAATGTAAAAGAAAGAGTATGGTTTTTGCTACTTGTGTCCTTGTCCAGCAAATCACCTTCAAAGGTTGTATCAATTATATCTCATCTACTTGCAGTTGTTCCTGAGAAATTAAGAGGTACTCAAGATAGATAAGAAGTTGATTAGAATAGCACTTAACACCGCACAGGGAAGAAAGAGGCATTTGTGTGTGAAGGTGAGGGAAGGAGAGAGGAAGGGAGGAGATCACCCAAAGGCTAAGAAATGACTTGTAAGAATTGCTTTTGTTCAGCCTGAAAAAACATTTCCATTACTTCTTCAACTTACTGTTGTGCCAAAGTCCTGTGACAATGGCTGGGCCATTGTACTTAGTTATACATTCAAGTCCCATCCAGGCTGTGAGAAATTCCAAAGAAATAGGCATAATCAGTTGGATGTATTGTACTACGGGTGTGCTTTTTAATGAATGTGCAAAGATTGTACGGATCAATTGTTCATTTGATTAATTCTTCAGGCAGAAGAGAATTAAATGTACTTATGCTACACACCAGTAAAGGCTGAATGCTCTTTAAAATGTGATTTTCCTATATGGAGGCTAATTTTCTTTTTTTCTCCTTGGGGAAAACGTATCTTGAGATAATAATAGAAGTCTATGAGAAAATGGAATTTACCATATAAATATTCAACTACATATACTACGTTGTCAGAAATGCATCTAATGAGCAAAACAAGGTCAAGGTCTACACAGTATTCATTATTATTTGCAGCAAATCTTCCTTTCAAGTTGTTATTTGCATCATTCCACAGAAGAGGCAATAAATCCCCATTTTAGGAATAATTCATTGTCAAAACATTTTTCTCTATAAGGCATTCAGCATGACAGAGTAGAGACCTTTAAATCCAAAAGAACTAATTATCTTCTACTCTTAGGCAGGTGTGAAGACTGAAGGAAATAAAACAGTCTTGTACTCTTTATCACTTGGAATGACAATATCTGATAGGTCCGTGGGAAGAAGGAAATATTCTGAATGCAATAAGGAGGCTGGGGCCCTCTCCAGAGGTTCAGAAATATTGCATTGCATTTGTTCAGCAAGTACATCTTGCAAGCCTGTTATAGGCTAGACACAATGCTGAGAGCAGAAAGCAAATCAAAGTCAACGCCATCATGTAACATAATCTAGAGTGGGAGACACACATTATTCAAATTACTCAAATATGTCATGGCTTCATTATTTTGCTTTAAGTGATATAAATTCCCAAACTATTAGCTCATATTCCACAGCAGGCAGAAAACCTCATTGCAAAAAAGAAATATTGTACCAGATTTCCTCCCTAATAATGATAGATGCTTTGCTAAGAATCATCATGAAGACAAAGATACTTGAGAGGATCTAGTCTTAATGAAATTGAGGTGAAAAACTTTTCCTTCAGCCCACATGGGAGGAGCACCATCATTAACTGGGCCCAAGTAAATCCCAGGTAACATCTTTAAGACTCCAGAATTATTGCTATCTTTACCACACCAGCTCCAGATAGATCTGCAAGAGTCAAGACACAGAGTCCTGGGTAGATCTTCCCTTGAGTCAACCTCCCCTTCATGATTCTGTCTATATGATTGAGGTCTTCAATACTCAACCATCATTTATTCATTTGTGCTGGTAACCTTGGATTCAAGGCCAACAGAGATCCCCGAACACAATTGGGAATGCAGCTGGCTAGTAAGCAATCAAACAACCAAGTGAGGTCATTTCACAAAGTGGTGATGTTAGGAAGAAGATAAGCAGAGAGTTTTGTCAGGGTTGTTTGCTGTGTGTTTGTATGTAGGGTGGGGAGGTTGTTTGTTGGGAAAGGTCAGGGAATGCCTCTCCTAGCTAAAAAGAGTGAAGAGGCAGTGGAGGTTCAGAGCGCCTCCAGGAGGACATTTCAGGCAGAAGGCGCCATGAGTCAGAAGGCTTTAAATTCCAGAGAACTTCCAGTGATCAAAAGACAGAAAGGGGGGCTGGGGATTTAGCTCAGTGGTTCCACTGCCTGCCCCACAAGCACAAGGACCGGAGTTCAATCCTCAGTACCCCCCCCCCCCCAAAATAGAAAGGAGGTCATGTGGTTGGATATAGGGCATGAGGCAACTTGACCATTAAGAATTACCAGGCCCCATGAGGAGTCCAGATTTCAGTCTCATTGCAGTGGAAGGCCACTGGAGACAGTGATTTGAGTGAAACTCCATGTGGATGAGGCTTTTCAGATTGGGCAAGAAAACAAGTCAAAGAAATGAAGAACACAGGAGATGAACCACATCTTTATTGAAGGAATATGTTGGAATTTTCAAGTATTCTGGATTTCTCATGTTCTATTCAGCTTTACAATTTAACTAATTTGGAAATATTTGTCATATATTCAGAAATGTATTTGAGGAATTGACTATAAGACAGGTGATATCACTTACAATAGGAGAGAGAAAATGAAGAGAAATGTGGCACAGAATCTATCTGGCCACATTAACTTTCACCACTGTTGATAATGCCTTCAGTACCTACAAGAAATTCTTTGTGGTGAGCTGGTCATTCTGATATATGACTCCTTTTGGAGAAGGAGAGACTGAGTGTTCAGTGGTATTGTGAAGAAAGGGTATAAATTCTTAGCAGAATTTACAGAAATCTCAGCAGAATTAAAATATCGTTCTTGTGACATTATCGCCCCGTCCTCTCTCTCCTTGCCTCTGCTCTGCTCTCAGATACATCATCCTAAAGTACAACTTTCACAATTTTTCTCCTCTTAAAAATTTTTCAATAATTTATCAGTATGTGCTGGATAAAGACTGTATCCTTCACACTGACTCTCTGATGAGTTACCATATCTCCCTAAGTCCATAGTCTACTTTTCTCTCCCAGGAAGATGTATGTTGTGTTCTCCCATTTCCCCAAATTTGCTCACAATATTCCATTTTCCAGGAATGCTTATCAGTAGTCTTTTAACTTTTGGCAAATCTATTTTAACAATTAACAAATGCTATATGTCCTCTTAGTAGGAAAAAGTGATGCACGAACAGATCTCTGAAGAATTTTGTGGACACTCTGGCAGGAGTTTTAACAGCCTCCTATTAGAACCAGCACATCCTTCAAAGTCCAGATCACATACTCTCTGTTCCCTGAAACATTTTCATGCTTCTTCTTCCCACTCTGAGTGAGATTCTCTGCTCAGAGGGCTCACTCCTGTGTCACACATTTGGACAATTGTAGCATATGGTTTTGAGCCCTATTCTATTCTATTCTATTCTATTCTATTCTATTCTATTCTATTCTATTCTATTCTCTTCTCTTCTATTCTCTTCTATGGCTTTGTATTTTTCTCCCCCTGCTGTTTAAATTTTATCTACATGTATTTTATTTCCTTCACTAGCATTGGAGTTTAAGAGCAGGAGCTATTTTAGTCATCTTAGTACTCCCAATGACTAGTTCAGTGTTTGGCATAATTTATTCATGCATGAATTAGTATGACCGATAAGCAGTATGTCTCTCAAAAAGTGTAAGCTCCTTAATAGTGGGAACTGTGTTGCTTGTATTTTATAATAGCATGAGAGTTACTAAATAAAAGTGCCAGTTGATTGACCAATGATAAGAAAATAATACTAGTTACAGAGCACTTATTACATGCTAAATTTTATGTTGAGTATTACTGTCTCATTCTTACATAAATCATATGAGATGTGAGCTACTTCCTCCATTTCACAGATGAGAAAACCAAGTATTAGTTCAGTCTTTTCATGGTTAAGCAGCTGGTATATATTAGAGCATGGGTTAGAAGCCAGATGTATGTAACTGCCTAGCAACTCCTCCAAAAGTCATAGCTCATTGATTTGCTCAGGGTTTGATCCAAAGACCCTGCCTCTCTCAGATTTATTTTCCATCTGATGTGCTGAATCAGGCCCTCCTCCTGCAGCTGTGTGAATTAATAGCAAGTGATGAAGACCTTGACCCTAGGTAGCCACTGGATAGCCTGGACCAGAGAGCAGTGTGGCTGTCAGCGGCTGATGGCAACACTCACCTGTCAGTCAAAGGTGTGATCACCAGGCGGGGCGTGTTTCCCAGGTACTCATAGGAATATAGAAACTGGGCATCACAGATGTTAGCAAAGCAGTGCCTGGCCTCATCATCCCAACGGTGGCGCAGCTGAGACAACCAGAGGAAAGCCTGGGCATTGTCCACCTACGGAGGGAGTGGCAGAGCAGGTGGGTGAACCATAGTGTTCAACAGGTAGAATGTGGCTCCCTGGTTACAGGACATATAAATCTCTGGATGGCTTGGATATTGCCTGCCACTAAGAGTGCAGCATGCTATGACTATCACAGTATAGAAAGCCCAAGCTTCTCAGTTTACAGATGCCTCTTGGCTTACAATGTGGTTATGTCCATAAACCCATTGTGAGTTGGAAAATATTTTGGGTTGAAAATATTTTAATTTGAAAATGAATGCAATACACCTAGAACTATAGAATATTATAGCTGAGCCTATTCTACTGTAAATTCAGAACATGAATATCTGCTGACAGTTGGCCAAAATGAATAAAGTGTTGAATATCTCATGTAATTCATTGAATACTGTGCTGAAAGTACAGTTTCTACTAAGTACATAACACTTTTGCACTGGTGTAAAGTAAAAAAAAAAATCACAAGTCAAATCATCATAAGTAAAGGATCATTTATATAGGGCTTTGCTGAAAGTTTCAAAAGGTAGAAGCAGCCACTATAATCCACCCCCAGCTGCCATGCACATCCCAAAACCCCATGTTATGGCCATATGTGAGCTACTCCCACAGTGCAGCTGCTCACAAGAAGGAATGTCCCTAGATATTTAGGACCTACCTTTTGAGCAATCATCTTGGCCACCACATCTCGGGCGTGCACATCAATGGTGCATATAGTCATGATCTTTTGGCGGTCTCCCTTAGAGAGCTGGCCAATCAACATGGTGATGAGAGTTTTGAGCTGGGCCACTTGCTTCTTGTAGTAGTCTTTCATGGCATTCTCATAACCTTCCTCTAGCCTGGCAAATGCGATGCCCACCTCTGTTGTCCACCAGATCTGAGTGCAGGTCAGGGCAACCTATGACATCAAGAGCTGCTTAGTGAGCTCTTCCCAGGGCTGTTCCTAACCATCCCACTCATGACACAGCCGGGCTCAGGTTATAATTGTGTGAGTGGCACAAGCCCCTCCCCCCATTCTGCCAGCATTGACTAAGGGAACCATATGTTCCAAATCCTTGGAGATGTGAAATAATTACAACACAAGTGAAGAAAGCACTTTCTGATCCCGAAAAATGTATCATTTGATTGAGAACAACCAAAGACTGAGTCTGGCCTATGTCAGTGGCTTCTAGAAATGTGTACCTGGGTCACTCAGTTTTCTCTTCCCAGGAACAGCATCTTTCCTGTTCTTGGAAGGATAACATGTTGAGTGAGCACCTCAATGACATACAGCCTTTGCTTCATTCTTCTGGATCCTTGTGTGGTCCCAGTATTATAATTTAGTGGGCCACTGCTGATCATCTGTGGCCTATTTTTGTTTTTCCATAATACTTTTACTACATCTTTAATTTTCAAAAACTTCTAATCTTAAAATGGCTACTTTTGAAGGTCAGAGTGAATAGTACCAAAATTCAGTGTGGTTGATATGACTTGCATTTTACAGAGATTAAAAATAAATGGGAAAAGGGCCAGAGATTTAGCTTAGTGGGATTCAAGTCCCTCCTGAATGTGAAGCACACCATTAATCTGATGTCTAACAACCTCAGGAGGCTGAAAAAGGCCTCGGAGGAGGAAGTGGACCCATGATGATCCTGTTAGGATAGTACCTGAGCTGGATAGTCAAAGAGCCACTGTTCCCTTGGCTTTTCCTCATAGACAGTCACTCCTTCTGTCATCTCATGTCTCACAGTGGCCTTCATGTGAGTAAGCACATTGTTCAACCATAGTTCTACCTGAAAAAAAAATCCTGGGTTAGACACCATGAACCTAAGAAGCTTTGACTAGTACCACACTTTTTCCCCCCACCTATCTGAGAAAGTAAAGAAAATGGAGCTTGGGCATGGTATACAACCTGAAATGGCTGCCAAAAGACAGAGGAAGATATTTTGTTTGTGTAATCTCCGATTGTGACAAGTGGGACTGAGGCTAATGAGCACAAAGGAGAGGATAGCAGGTTATGGGGGTAGAGGCGGTTACCCAGAATTCAGTCTGGTTTGAGCCAGATTTTCTCAAGTGGATTCTTATGGATTTGTCCTTACTGCATATGGATATGTGAGTCAGGATTGTATTTTCCAACTAAATGCTTTCTGGGCTTACAAAAGTAATTCATTTTGAATTAAACTCCGAGGCTACTGGCCATTCCATCTAACTAAGAAGCTTGGATTTATTTCTGGTAAGGGACTTGCTTTCCAAGATGCATGTGGATAAAGTTGGAGCCTTGTAAGAGATCTTTTTCCTAGGTATTAACCTTCACTAGACTAGAACCCTCAGGGACAATGCTTTTATGGATCATTTAGGAGAATGAACAAGGCTGGGCTTATACTTACTAGTGCTGAAAGATAGCAAGGAGATTTGAAGAGAGAATAGTACCATGATTTCTGTGCCTTGAACTGGAGATAGGAGATTTGGTGGTAGAAGTAGTTCTTGGTGACAGTTGACTCTCTGAGAGGTACAATTGCATAGAAAAGGGATATCTCAGGGAATAGTTGCTTTCAAAGGACATTTTCTTTGGGGAAGGCATAAGTGTTCCAGATTCCCCTGCAGGGTGCTGCTAGGGTTTGCCTTGTTAATGTCTCCTGGGGCAGCTAATAATTTTTAAATCCCTTTTTCAGTTGACTCAGGAAATTATTTATGTGCATTTTATTCCTCTAAGCATAGGTCTTTGGTTAAAGAAGAGATATATGTTGACATGTGCCCTTCCCAGAGAGAGAACAGAAGGACACTGGAGGCTGCTCCAATGTCAGTTCCTGTCAAGGGAAGCTGGCATTCCTGGGGCAAAGACAACAACTTTGGTCCAGAGCCAGCTTCCCCAAAGTTGATACTGATAATATTTGAATGCAGGTGAAAGGGAGGGAGGGAGACAGGGAGGAAGGGAGGGAGAGAATGAGAGAGAGAGAGAGAGAGAGAGAGAGAGAGAGAGAGAGAGAGAGAGAGGAGAGAGAGATTACCTGCCCACTACAGTCACAGGGCTCACTGAAGGCCACATATTCTTCTTCTTTGCTATACATTCCAAGACTTGTCTTGGTTGGATTGTCACTGGCATCTAGCTGGAATTGCATCTTGGCCATATTGTCAAATAGTTTGGAAAGGTGACGTTGTACCTATGAAGGAAATCCATGCCAAACAATTGGAGAATGTGTCCAGCAAGTTGTTTATTAGAGTTGTTTAGGTGTCTCCCCTGTGACAATCCTTGTAAGAGACAAAGTGATGAATATTAAATATTTATAAGGAAGTTTGTGTGAATGATGGTGATATAAAGATTGGATAGAAATGGCAAAGGAGTGAAAAAACACTACTGGGAATAATGCACTAGCCAGGGACTGGTAGAACCACAATTGTTTGATTAATTTCTACTTGATCTGCTATAGATAGGGCAGGATTAGAGTAAAATGATATTTAATTCATTCACTTTGCTTCTTAGAAAACACTAAGGTGGAACAGGAAATGAATAGATTATAGTATGGCAGAAGAATGCTAAATCACTGAAGTCTGGAGGGTCAAGAACAGTGGCGATGGTGGCCTATGGAAAAAGTCATCACATTTTTGGAACCTCTTTTTTTCTGCCTTTGATACTGGGGATTGAACTCAGAGCCTTAGCACTAAGCTACATCTCCAGCCCTTTTTCTACCTTTTTTTGAGATAAAGTTTTGCTAAATCACTAAGTTGTCTAGGATGCCCTTAAATTTGAGGTCCTTGAACTTCAGACTCCAACAGTGTGGGGACTACAGGTATAGGCCACTACACCTGGCTTTTGAAAGCACTTCAGTGCAACAGAAAAACATCAGGAGGGTCCAAAGGAAGGACAAGCATGGTCACACCAAACAGAAAGCCTGGCCATGCCAGGATGCTCCCAGGCATAGGATCTCATGATTCAGAAGTCCTTATAGTGAGGTCTGCACCAGTAGTGCTTGGAAGAATCCTGGAGAAAGCTACATTATAGTCCTTAGGTGAAGAAGATGAAAGATTGAAGAAAAATCAGTAAATATAAAGCTGCCCTCTAGTTGAGATTTTGAGTAGATGCAAAGGGCCCTAAGCAAAGAGATGCCACCACACTGATTGGGGAGAAATCCTTTGATAGATGGACTTTTTTACCCAAGAAAAAATATTGATTTTAAAAAAACAAACAAACATGGAACTTATGAAAATATCCTGAAACTGCAAATAAGAGGAGATAGTACTTGAGAAGTAAAATAAGACAAAATATCTTAAAAAAAACTTTATATGAGAAAACAAATAATTTTGAAGAACAGCATCTTACTTTGTTTTCACTTAAAGGAAAGAAATACAGACTCTATAAAATACAAAGTGCAAGATGAGTTGGTACAGAAATTTTAAAAACTAATGACAGTAGTTTATGTGAGTATCAACAAAACTAAAGGGTTAAAATGACATAAAAATTAAATATGGTGGACAAATATGAGAAACTATTGAAGAATGCCAAGAAAGAAGACCAAGGCATTAAAAAGCATTTTTCAAGAAAAAACAATGCATAAAGGACAAAGAAAATAGAATCTGTTTGTCAAAATACCATGAACCTGCCAGGGATTTAGCTCAGTGGTTCCGCCGCCTGTCTTGAAAGCTCACGGTCTCAAGTTTGATCCCTGGTACCAGAACAAAACAAAACAAACAAACAAAAAAACCTTGAACTTAAAACAAAAAATATCCAGATAATTGGAGTAGAAATACTAACCAAAAACATATTGGAAGAAAAATTTTTCAAGATAACAAAAGCTCTGATTTTCAGACAGGAAAAAAGTCACCATGTGTCCAGAAAATTAGCAAAATAAAGGAAATATCTAAATAAATACAAATTTTTGAAATTTTAATTTAAATGTCCATTTCTAGAGGGAACCAGATAGAAATAAATTGAGCTTCCCAGAAGATTTTTTTTAAAAGGAAGGCAGGCTAGATGACTGCTTTGTGACAATGAACATCAGAGCAATGTTTGTAGGGATTGCAAGGAAATTGCTGTGACTTGTGACTTTGAAGCCCAACATTTCAGTTACTCACACGTGAAACTACACAGAGTCACAGATATAGGAGAATTAGGAATTACTCTACTATTCTTCTTCTCTTAGGGTATGAGGAAGGGAACTATTCAAATATTTACTTAAACCCAAAGAGGAATAAATGAAAATGAATATTTAAACATAAGTACCTTGTGAATGAAAGGCTGGCAGAGACCTGACCCCTTCTATACATAGTAGAGATGAAAACAGTTACAAAACAAAACACTGATGTGATAACTATTTCAACCCCACCACGCCTGCTTTACTTTGGGAATATTTCAATCTATAGGAAAAAATAGAAAGGGTGCAATTATTATGGGATAATCTCTCCTTAGCACTTGCTTTTCAACAAACCAAGAGCATCTACATGGGAGCTGTTTGGACTCAGTTGGAGAAACTCTCATCCATTGCTGGCAGCAACACAAAAGGGTAGAATTCTTACAGATGGAATCTTGGCCATACCTAACAAGACTACATGTGCATGTAAACTTTGAGCCAGTTTTCTCACTTCTGGGGATTTACCTGGAAGATAGACCTCCAATAATACAAAGTCCAAGGTTATTCCATACTACATCATTTGAAATTGGAAAATACTAACAATGACCTGTAGCCACACTCTGATAAATCAGTCCATGGAATATAATGCAAATTTTAAGAAATGGAGAGAGACAGCTTTCATTTTTGTGGAATGATTTCTAGAGTATATAATTAAATAAAAAAACCAAAGTCCAACAGGTATATAGAGCATGCTACCTTTCACATCAAAAAGAATGGGAGAAAAGGAAATGCACATGAATAATGTAAATGTGCATCTGCTTATTTTTGTGAAGGTAGGCATAGGAAAGATAAACCCAAAGCTAATGAAATTAGTCATATATAGACACATAATAATTGTACATTTTATGGGGTACAATGTGACATTTCCATACATGTATACAATATAATTTATTCATATTGGGAACATTCAAAATTCTCTTCTAGTAGCTATTTTGAAATATTCAGTTAATTGTTAACTGTAGCTCTCCTACATGCTATAGAACATAAGAAGCTATTCTTGCTATCCAACTGCACCCTCCTACCTCCACCACCCCACAGTTCCCACACTCTGGTCACCACTGTTCTATTTTCTACTTTTTTTGAGATCACTGCTAGTTTTTGCATAAAAATGAGAACATGTGGTATTTGTCTTTCTGGGCTTGGCTTGTTTCACTCAACATAATATCCACCAATTCCATCCATGCCACTGCAAATGACAAAACATCTTTCATTTTTATATAGCTGATACTACTAACCACTATTTATGGATGCCTTTAAAGAACCAGATCAAAGGCATCTTCTATGAAGGTTTTACTTCATCCCCCTTCACCATCCTCACAGCTTCTCCAGTCCTTTATTAGGGACTAGCCCCTGATGGGCAGGCTGGATCCTAAGCAGCAATAATGATGGAAAAGAAGGAATCCCTGAGGTTGGTGATGAAGCTGGTGGCAACACAGGTCTGAAACACAGGTCCCCACCTGCTTGGGAGAAGAGGCTCCTGCTGGGAGCTCCTCAGTCCTTCTGGACTCTTCACAGGTGCTCCCCAACCTTACCTGCTGTGGAGCTGTGCCATTGGAAAGAATGTCTAGCAGATCAGATGAGGAGAGAAAGTAAAATCGAGGGAAGGCAAGTCTCTTGGTGTCTAGGTACTCTGCCAGAGCCTTCTCACACAGGCACAATCTGAGGGCACAGAGCACAGGATCCGCAGGTTAGGTGCAACTAGACCCAAACATTCACACACATTTCCCGGATGCAAACACAATTGGCCCTGGGTATCCACAAGTTCTGCATCCAATGGTTCAACCAACTGCAGATCAAAAATATTTGGAAAAATTGCATCTCTACTGAATATGTATAGACTCTTGTTGCTATTCCACAAAAAATGCAGTATAACTACTTTCAAAGTATTTACATCATATTATGTACTATAAATTATATGGTGATGATTTAAAGCATAAAAGATGATGTACACAGGTTACTATGTGTACATAGTACACATACTATGCCATTTTATTTAATTTTTTTATTAGAATGTATTTGTAGTACAAAGTGATTACATTCATTGTGAGCAGTTGGTACATATACATAACACATCTTAATTATTTGTATTTCCCCCTCCCCTCCCCTCTTCTCCACCCTTCATCCATTTCTAGGTCCTTTTCCCATTTTCAACACATCTGTCTCCCTAATTCTTATCATCCATCCTTTATTTTGATCCTTAAATTATTTATATTTTGGGTTTCTCATATAAGAGAAAAATATGATATTTAAGTTTCTGTGTCTGAGTTATTTCATTTAACATTATGGTCTCAAGGTGCATCCATTTCCCTATCAATGACTCAAATATATCCTTCTTTATGGCAGAGTAGTGTCCCATTGTGCATAAATACCACATTTTCTTTATCCAATCATCTGTTGATGGACATGTAGGCTTCTTCCAAGATTTTTCTTTTGTGATTTGTGCTGCTATAAACAGGGGTAAAAGTCTTTATTGTGATATGACACCTTTAACACTTTGGGGAGGATACCAAGAAGAGGAATAGCTGGATTGAATGAAATTTTATTTTTAGTTTTTTTGATGAATCTCCATACTGATTTCTGTAGTGGTCGTACTAGTTTATATTCCCACCAACAATGTGGAAGGGTCCCTTTTCTTCCATACCCCTGCCAGAATTTGTTATTATTTGATTTTTTGATAATAGTCATTCTTTCTGGAGTAAGATGGGATTTCAGTGTTGTTTTAATTTGCATTTCTCTGATGCTCAGACGCTGAACATTTTTTCATGTATTTATTGGCTTTTTGTACTTCTTCTGAGACACATGTATTCATTTCATTTGCCCATGTTTTGATTGGGTATTTTATTTTGGGAGGTCTAATTTTTAAAATTCATTCTATATTCATTTAAATCATTTTAACCCTTGTTTACACTTTGAAATAGGAAAAAAGGTCCAAAGATGAAGCAGTGAAGGGAGGGGAAGGGGAAAGGAAAAGAGGGAAAGGTAAAACCAAGAGAAAAGAAAAAAAAAAAAGGAAATGAAATCTATGTAAATAGGGAAGGGTAGAGGGGGTGAAGGATGCACAGGTAATGGGGAAAAAAAACAAGAACCAAGATATATCATGTATAGGCACAAACACCCAATGATAAATGTAAATGAATTGTATACCTAAAATGTACCAATAAAAGAACTAAAAAAAAAATTCTTTCTGTAGTTTAGATTTTATTCCTCTGTTCCAGGAGTCACTGACAAACATTTCTTCCCATTCCATAGTTTGTTCACCCTATTGGTTGTTTCCTTTGCTGTGATGAAACTTTCTAATTTGATATAGCCCCATTTGTTTGTTCTTGATGCTACTTCTTGGGCAAATGGGTTTTTCTTCAAAAAGTCTTTTATCTTTGCTTATGCTGTGAGACCAAAAGTGACTCCATTTTGTGAATGTGGGACCAGAATGACTCCATTTTGTCCAAAATGGAGCAGTCTCCTTTATTCTTTCAAATTAATGATTAAATGTGCTTAATCTGGGACAAAAGACATGATCTGTAACTCAAGATTCCTAAGCTCATTACTCAGCCATCTGTTTGCTCTAGAAACATGTGTCCCGGGCCCACTATCTATAGGACAATCTGTTAACGTGCTGACTATCCACACAAGGTGGTCATGACCATGAGTCAAGATGTCTGCTGACCATCAGTACGTGACAGTAGACCACTAACCTTTGTCCCCATTTTTCTTGTAAAAACCTATACGTAATCCCCTTCAACCCCCAATGAGCCTAGCCAATCAAAATTCTACACTTCATACTTGCTAAATGTTAACCAATCATATGGCTGCTAATGAATGAAGCTTGCTGTAATCTCAATAAAAACCCTGCTAATTTGGAACTCGGGGCTCTCAATCTTGATCGTGTCGGTGACAATTGAGAGTCCCAGCTTAAGCTTGAATAAATGACCCTCGTGTGCTTACATCGGAAACGGCCTCCTGGTGGTCTTTGGGACTTCGTAATCTGGGCACAACAATGCCTTCTGGAATCTTACCTATTTTATCTTCCAGCAGATTGTTTCTGGATTAATATCCAGGTCTGTGATACATTTTGATCTTGTTTAAGTAATTGTGGCTAGATTTAAGTAATAGTGATAGATATGGCTAGATTCAATCTTCTGCATCTATGTGAGTAACCAGTTTTCCCAGCACTATTTGTGAAAGAGGCTGTCTTTCCTCCAGTGTAAGTTTTTGGTTCCTTTGTTAAAGGTCAGGTGACTGTGCCTGGTGTTGTTTCTGCATCCTCTATTCTGTTCTATTGGACCGTGTGTCTGTTTTTGTGCCAGCACCATGCAATTTTTGTCACTGTAGCTTTGTATTAGGACTTAAAATCCACGATTGTGATGCCTGATTTGATCTTATTGCCCAGGGTTTCTTTTGCTATTTTGGATCTCTTCAGGCTCCACATAAATTTTTAAATTGTTTTTCTAGTTCTGTGAGGTATGCTGTTGCTATTTTGATTAGGATTGCATTAAATCTAGATATCAGTTTGAAAGTATAGCCATTTTAACAATATTTGTTCAGCCTGTCAAGGAACAGGGTGTATCTTTCAATTTTCTGATGTTCACTTCAATCTCCTTTTTGAAAATAAAGTAGTTTTTGTTATAGAGGTCTTTAACTTCTTTGGTTAGGTTAATTCTAAGTACTTATTTTTTCTAGATGCTACTGTGAATGACATTGTTTTCCTAATTTCTTTTTTGGTCTATTCATTATTGAATAGACCTATACATTATTGTATAGAAATGCTACTGATTTTTGTGTGTTGATTTAGTATCTTGCTACATTGCTGAATTTGGTTACTAGTTCTAGGAGTCTTTTGGTGGAATTTGTTGTCATCTATGAATAATGATAATTTGACTTCTTCCTTTCCTGTACATAAATCTTTCATTTATTTCCCTTGCCTGATTGCTTTGGTTATGTTTTCAAGTACTATATTGAATGAAAGTGGTGATAGGGGGACATCTTTGTGTTGCTCCTGATTTTAGAGAGAAAGCTTTCAACCTTTCCTCATTTAATGTATTGTGGGCAGTATGTTTGTCATAAATAGCTTTTATCAGATTGAGATAAGTTCCTTGTATATCTATTTTCTTCAGGGCTTTTATACTGAATGGATGCTGGGTTTTGTCAAAGGCTTTTTCTATGTCTATTGAGATGGTGATGATTTTTGTCCTTACTTCTGTTTATATGATGTATTACATTTATTGATTTGTGTATTGAAATATTCCTGCATCTGTGGGATGAAGCCTACCTGGTCATTTTGTGTATTTAATGTTTTGTTGTATTCTGCTTGTCAGTGTCCTGTTGAAGATTTATACAAATATGTTCAAGTTCATTATAGCTTCCAGGAATGAGTTTGGAAGTGCTTCCTTTTCAGTTTTATGAGGAATTTGAGAGCTATTGCTGTTAGAGCTTCCCTGAAGTTTTTGGAGAATTCACCAGTGAATCCACTGGTGCCTAGGCTTTTCTTAGTGGGTGGGATTTTTATTACTACCTCAATTTCACTGACTGTTACTATTGATACATTTTAGGTATACAATATAATGACATTCATCATTGGAAATTTGCACCTTTACATAATCTCTCTTGGTTCTTATTTTTCCCCCTTCCCC